TTTGAGAGAGAGCGCGCGAGCAGGGGAGGGGCAGAGAGACGGAGACAGAATCTGAAGCAGGCTTCAGGCTCTGAGCTGTCAGCATGGAGCCCAAGGTGGGGCTCAAACTCACAAGCAGTGAGATCATGCTCTGAGCCAAAGTCAGACACTTAACTGACTGAGCCATTAGGGTGCCCCTGGATGATTTTTATTTATTTATTTATGTATGTATGTATGTACGTATGTATGTAAGTCTATTTCTCTAAGCATGTGCCTTGGTTTATTCTTTGAAATATCTGATGATTTATGTATATGTGTGTGTCTACCTCTTTTGTAGATTAAAAAGTTGTCCCGTTGGGAAGTGATCGATGTGGTACGCACAATGTCAACAGAACAGGCCCGCTCTGGAGAGGGGCCCATGAGTAAATTTGCCCGTGGATCAAGGTTTTCTGTGGCTGAGCATCAAGAGCGTTACAAAGAGGAATGTCAGCGCATCTTTGACCTACAGAACAAGTGTGTTTGTTTTAGAAAATCCAAGCCGGATAGGGGAGGGGTGTTGGACAGTATATTATAATGAAGAGGAGGTTACCTGATCATGTGACTAGGGGGTCAGGTATCTGAGATATCGGGTGGTATTTGTTCATAATACTGCTAGGACACCTACTCCTTTCAGAGCAACTCGGCAAAGGTTTTGAATTGGCAAGAGGTGCTAGGTATGAGCTCTAGGTTCCGTGGCAACTTCTGTGGCTTATTCTGTGGCTTCTATTCTGGCAGTTATTACAGTGGTGATAGGGGATAGTGAGTGTTTTTTCTGAAGGCTTTACTTGTGAGAGGATGGTATTGCACTATTAAAAATGTTTCTCAGTTTTTCTCAAAGAATTCTGAAAGAGTTGCTGTGCTGCTTCATATTTCAAACTGACCTTATTGACAGACGTCTAGGAAAACTTTGGAACCCTTTTCTCTTAAGGCCCCCATGTCAGTGGATTTGGGGTATTCCTTTTTAAGGTTGATTTCCCAATTTCTTCCTCTTGCCTAAAACCGTATTTCTTCAGCCCTTTATACACTTTCATATTTTCCCTCCTCTTGGCTTCACATTGTTTTTTCTCTTTTTAGAGTTTTGTCATCGACTGAAGTATTATCAACCGACACAGACAGCAGCTCAGCTGAAGACAGTGACTTCGAAGAAATGGGAAAGAACATTGAGAACATGTTGCAGAATAAGAAAACCAGCTCTCAGCTGTCACGTGAACGGGAGGAGCAGGAGCGGAAGGAACTGCAGCGGATGCTACTGGGTGAGGGTAGTGGCTTCACAGGCAAGAAAGAGAAGGATCGAAAAAGTGTAACTAACTGCAGACTAATAACTGAGGCAAAGCTGGAGGCAGAAGAAATAGGGGATGAGTGTAGAAAGGCCTGTAGATGAGGTAGAGCGATTACTGCAAGCTGGACTGTAGGTCTGTCTGTGGGGCACAGATGGAAGACATGCTGCCAGTCTACTACCTGCCTCTGGTCAGTCCACTACCTGCCTCTCGTGTGTATCAGGCCTGTCCAAGCCAGGGCTAGCAGTGCTGTACATCACGTGAGCATTCTGGGCATTCCTCCTCGAGAGGAAGAGTTTGTAATACAGAATTTGTGGATGGATTTGGGGAGTTGCCCTTGAACCCTCTGAAATCACATGTAAAATTCTGTACAAGTGTGCCTTTTCTGAGGAGAAGATCCATGGCTTTCAGAAGATTTTCAAAGGGGTCTTAGACCCTAAAAAGAGTTAAAAGTCAACCAAAAATTGCAGAAGTTGAGGGTGGGGATGATTAAGGCCTGAACTGGTTTGGGATAAGGATATTGGGAATGAAAAGAGAAAAATCAAGGTGACCCTAAGATTTCATTCTGGGCCTGCTAGGAAGATGGTGGTCCCATTGATTAAAGTAGTAAATTTCAGAGAAAGAACCAGGTGTGAGAAGGGAAGAAGTAACGTATGGAGTTTGAGATGCCCATGACTTTTCCCAGTATAGGTGTCAAGCAGGCAATTTAAAATTTGGATGTAGATACTGTGAGAGAGGGGATAAAGACTCCAGATGAAGATTTGAATGACTGTTCTCACTCCTAGTAGTGTTTCCTTTGTTTACTCCTCTCTGTAAAAGCTTTATGTAATTTTGTGTTCATACTACTTTGTAAAGATGTGATAAAGCCTTTCCATCAGTGTGGTCCTGGACCAGCAGTATCTGCATCACATGGGAGCTTGTTAGAAATGCAGAATCTGGGGCGCCTGGGTGGCGCAGTCGGTTAAGCGTCCGACTTCAGCCAGGTCACGATCTCGCGGTCCGTGAGTTCGAGCCCCGCGTCAGGCTCTGGGCTGATGGCTCAGAGCCTGGAGCCTGTTTCCGATTCTGTGTCTCCCTCTCTCTCTGCCCCTCCCCTGTTCATGCTTTGTGTCTCTCTGTCCCAAAAATAAATAAACGTTAAAAAAAAAAATTAAAAAAAAAAAAAAAAAAAAGAAATGCAGAATCTTAGGCCTCACCCCAAACCCTACTGAATTTGAATCTATTTTAATGAGAATTCTCAGGCGATTCCTATTCATTCACATTAAAGTTTGAGAAGCACACTCTAGGCCTTGAGACTCTGGACTTGTTTCTCTGGGACAGTTTTGCCCCCTTGGTGCTTGGGTGCTTTTTTAAATTTAATTATTTATTTTTAATGTTTATTTTGGAGAGAGAGAGAGAGAGAGACAGAGTGTGAGCAGGGGAGGGGCAGAGAGAGGGAGACACAGAATCTGAAGCTGGCTCCAGGCTCTGAGCACAGAGCCGGACGTGGGGCTCGAACCCACGAACTGCAAGATCATGACCTGACCCCAAGCCGGACACTTAACCTACTGGGCCACCCAGGCGCCCCATTGAGTGCTTTTCTTTAACGTGAATATCAGCTACTTGCTACTTAGACTTTCTTTTGCTATTTAGAGGACTTCGAATACAGCTACTGTTCTTTTGTCCCCTAAAACAAACATACAGTTCTTTGAGGTCCTTTCAGAACTTCTTGTACTTAATAAAAAATGGGAACATTGGCAGTGGTAAAATGAAGTCAGGAAAGGACAAATCAGTATACTTCGGGCTGGTGGTGACGTTGATGCTTTCTGTAGAACCATACTTTTGTGACATGTTGAGCTTCGAGGTTTCCACTCAACTCCAGGAAAAGGACTGTTTGGGTGGTAGGGGGAATGTGTGGAAATCTTTTTCTGCCTTGCAGCAGCAGGTTCAGCAGCATCAGGAAACAATCACAGAGATGATGACACAGCTTCTGTGACTAGTCTTAACTCTTCTGCCACTGGGCGTTGTCTCAAGATTTATCGCACATTTCGAGATGAAGAGGGGAAAGAGTATGTTCGCTGTGAGACAGTTCGAAAGCCAGCTGTCATTGATGCCTATGTACGCATACGGACCACAAAAGATGAGGAATTCATGTGAGTTTGACTCACCACTTTCCAGTATTATAAGGAGGATGATTAAAAAGAGGTGGGAAAGGGGGATGAGGTAGGTGCTTGAGTTTTAATGACAGGATTTTCTGTACAGTTGTCCTTGGCTGTCTGTGTTGACTGGGTGCCTTTGAGTTTGAACAGAGCCAAACCACAGGGAGAATTTCAGACTTGCTACCAAATAAAGGAATCTTCAGTTCCAGCTGGGTCCTTTGCATTGTGGTCGGTTGGCAGAACTCTCCAGGATTACTCAGGATGTCTCATTCTGAGAGAGGTGTCTCCTGGCACATGGAAGGCTGATGAGCGGGGGAGGTGGGAGTGCCAGGCAGCCCCTTTTATTTCTGTGTGGATGGATGACTTTAGTTGTGAGATGTTTAGCTGTCAGGACAGTCTTCTTGGCTTGTTTGCTTATGGTCCTGTTCTGTTTCCCTCCTTGTCATTCAGTCGAAAGTTTGCCCTTTTTGATGAACAGCATCGAGAAGAGATGCGAAAGGAACGGCGGAGGATTCAAGAGCAGCTTAGGCGGCTAAAGCGGAACCAAGAAAAGGAGAAGCTTAAGGGTCCTCCTGAGAAGAAACCCAAAAAAATGAAGGAGCGTCCTGACCTAAAAGTAAGTATTAATGTGGCATAATCATAGCTAACAAGGCAAAGGAAGAAAGCATACTTTTTCCCTTAGCTTTTGGCATCCTCCCTAACTGGGAATGAGGGCAGTATTGTGGAAAGCTAGTTTGAGTTGGTGTGGCTGTCAGGCAGGTGTTACCGGTACTAGTGTGACTGGTACCAACAACTTAATCTGATGCCATTGGGTATTAATTTTATACTTCATCAGTTGGAAATATTTCCTAGGAGTTGAGATAGGTCTGGTTGAGATAGATTTTTTTACGTGTACATCTGTGTGTGTGTGTGTGTGTGTGCGCGTGCGCACACACACACACACCTTTTTAAAATTGTACATAAAGAAGTAACAGAAAAACCTACAGTACAGGTTGCTTTCCATAACTTTGGTAGGATTTCAGATATTACTCTACAACGTAACTGTAATGTATACAATAAAAGGGAACTACGATATAGTGGAAAGAGCCATGGACTTGGAAACAGAAGATCTGGCTTTGGGTTCTGGTTCTGCCATTTAGTTGCTTTGTGACCTTAACCTTACCATACGTGTTTTTCTCTTCCATAAAATATGATACCTGTCTCATAGTGTTGTTGGAGTAAGTGATACAATGCATGAGAAGCACTTTATAAACTGAAATTCTCAGTAAATGTAAATTGCTGGTAACATGGACCGAGGTCTTTAAATATTTTCAGCTTCCTTTCTTTTTTTAAAAATTTTGTAATGTTTATTTATATGTGAGAGAGAGAGCACACACAAGCAGGGGAGGGGCAGAGAGAGAGGGAGACAACAGAATCCGAAGCAGGCTCCAGGCTCTAGGCTCTGAACTGTCAGCACAGAGCCCGATGTGGGGCTTGAACCCACAAACTGTGAAATCATGACCTGAGCTGAAGTCAGGTGCTTAACTGACTGAGCCACCCAGGCGCCCCTCAAGTTCTTTTCTTATATATGGTATTCAATAAATATGACAGAGTATTGACCCTATTTTACAGATGAAACTGAGGTCAGTTGCAAAGCTGAGATAGAGACTTGGTATTATCCTTTTCCTTGGGACTGGAAATATACCTTGGGCTTCCAAGAGACTTTCTCCAGCGTATTTAACATTTTCATACTTTACAACTTAAATTGAAGGTAGAAATCCTCTCCCTTTTCTTCCTCACTTGATTTTTTTAAAATGTCTAGTCTCTGGGGGTGCCTGGGTGGCTTAGTCGGTTAGGCGTCCAGCTTTGGCTCAGGTCATGATCTTGTGGTTCGTGAGTTTGAGCCCCTCGTTGGGCGCTCTGCTGACTGCTCAGAGCCTGGAACCTGCTTCAGATTCTGTGTCTCCCTCTTTCTCTGCCCTTCCACTGCTCACGCTGTCTCTATCTCTCAAAAATAAATAAACATTAAAAAAATTTTTTTTAAACGCCCAGTCTCTGTATTTTATTTTTAATGTGTCATTTCCATACACGCTCTTTTTGTCTAGTGGCTTCTGGTTAAAAGGTGTAGAACAGTTCTGTTACAACAGAAGTTCTGCACCTGCCTTTGTTTCTCTCCTGCCTTCTATGTATCTTGTAAAGCGAATCTCACGTGGCCTGTTTACCTCTGACACGCTGATACTTTCCCTTTTGCAGCTGAAGTGTGGGGCTTGTGGTGCCATTGGGCACATGAGGACAAACAAGTTCTGCCCCCTCTACTATCAAACAAATGCTCCACCCTCCAACCCTGTTGCCATGACCGAGGAGCAGGAGGAGGAGCTGGAAAAGACTGTCATTCATAATGATAATGAAGAACTTATCAAGGTTGAAGGGACCAAGATCGTCCTGGGGAAACAGCTGATTGAGAGGTAAGAGCACACAGAAAGCGCTGTGGAGAGATCTGTCGGAGGTTGAAGGGGGGCAGGGGTTGATATGAAGTGGAACTGAGGGCATAGGCGTTTTGATGGATTTTCCTCAGTAATTGTTTCCAGTAATGAAAATTGTGGTCTTTTGTCATAAAGCACTCCTTAGGCTCTCCTGCTTGCCTTGGGGCATGCTACCTAACTTACTGAGTCTCCACTTCCTTATTTATGAAATAAAACCACCTTTACCAGCGTAGTTGTGAAGGTAAAATGAGAGGTTATATAAGCATGTAGTACAGTGCCTGGCATAGAGTACTTCCAGGCACTCACTATATTTGTAGTCCGTAATCTCAGTGTTCTTTTTTTTAATGTTTGTTTATTTTTGAAAGAGAGACAGACTACAAGCAGGGGAGGGGCAGAGAGAGAGGGAGACGCAGAATGCGAAGTGGGCTCTGGGCTCTGAGCTGTCAGCACAGAGCCTGATGCAGGGCTCGAACCCACAAACTGCGGGATCACCACCTGAGCCAAAGTCAGATGCTTAACTGACTGAGCCACCCAGGCGCCCGCCCTAATCTCAGTGTTCTGATAATGGACCACCCAGAAAGATTAAGGAGACATAAACTATGTTATCCCTACCTGTCTCTTGCTCTCAGAGAATGTAACAGATAATCAAGTGGAGAAGTTTTTAAATTAAAAAACATTTTCTCCCTGACTTTTTAGTTAGAAACTTGCAAACCTACAGAAAAGTTGAAAGAATAATAGAGTGTATCATTCCTCTAAAGTTACAGTTAATGTTTGTCACGTTTGTTTCATTTTTATGTATCTAAAACTTTTTTTTGCTGAACTATTTGGAAATAAGTTGCAGGCATCTTGCTGTTTCACTCATAAATACCACACATTGTCTAAGACTAAGGACATAACATACCATTACACCTAAGAAAATTAACATTGGGTCAGTAGTATCTAATATTTGGTTCTTATTTAAATTTCTCTGGTTGTCTTAGTGTCCTTTTTGGCCTGCCCCACCTCCAGTTTAGGATCCAATCCCAGTTCAAACATTAAGTATTTTGAATACTTCTTAATCTAGCACTGTTCTCTCTGCCTATTTTGGTTTCCATGGCATTGAATTTTTTGAAGAGTCCAGGCCAGTTGTCTCCTAAGATATCCCATATTCTGGATTTGTCTGTTTTCTCATTGATTACATTTGGATTAAATGTCTTTGGCAAGATTACTACATAGGTGATAATATGTACTTACTGCACCACATCAAGAAGCATATCATGTCAGGCTTTCTCACTATTTTGATCATTTTGTTTAAGTGGTGGTCCCCAGAACTCTCTTATAATAAAGGTATGTTTTTCTTTTTGTAATTAGCACGTGGGTGAATATCCTGTTCCCTAACAATCTTTCTCTCCGTAGTGTAGCATCCGTTGATGATCACTGCCTAACTCAGTTATTACATTGAGGGTTGCAAAACCATGGTTTTTCTAATTACAGCATTCTTTCTACATTAACTGGCATTCTATAAAGAAGAGCTCTTTTTTCCTTTTTGTTTGAGTATTACTATGGATTCTGAAATTCTTCCTTTTGTAAACTTAGTGTAATATAATTTATTAACACTATTTTATGTTATTTATTTATTTTTTAATATATGAAATTTATTGTCAAATTGGTTTCTATATAACACCCGGTGCTCATCCCAAAAGATGCCCTCTTTAATACCCATCACCTACCCTCCTCTCCCTCCCACACCCCATCAACCCTCAGTTTGTTCTCAGTTTTTAAGAGTCTCTTATGCTTTGTCTCTCTCCCACTCTAATCTCTTTTTTTTTCCTTCCCCTCCCCCATGGGTTTCTGTTAAGTTTCTCAGGATCCACATAAGAGTGAAACCATATGGTATCTGTCTTTCTCTGTATGGCTTATTTCACTTAGCATCACACTCTCCAGTTCCATCCACGTTGCTACAAAGAATGAAACCATATTTCATTCTTTCTCATTGCCACATAGTACTCCATTGTATTAACACTATTTTAATTGTGATCCCCATATTGTCTCAAATTTGACCTCTTAAAGCCAGATCCTGTGTCCTTGTGAGAACTTATTTGCTTTCCAACACAAAATGTTCTAGGCTGTCCTTGAAATTTCCTTGTTCAAGACCTAGAATCAGCCATTTCTTCAAAGAGCCCTGGTTCCTTTTATTGGGGAATGGTATTTAGAACCAAGATTTAGGTGTTAAGTATGCTCATTGCCACTGAGATGCCCTTGCTTCTAGGCTTTTAGTGGATGGAACTAGGAAATAAATATATATTGCAAATCACATATCAAAACCTTCATATCAAAACCTCCAATTCAAATTATATCTACAGAGTCTTCCTCTTCTTCCCCCATTCATATTTGTATCCTTTCTCTGGTTCCTGGCATCAAGATGTTGAATCATTTGCTCTGTCTGTACATCTGTTATGTACAAAATAGTCTGAGAATTACAATACCAGTACCACTAACAACAAAACTTTAAAGTAGATTCAAGGTGTTTGCTCTAGTTTGTTGTCCTTAGGCTATATGCCACTGAAGTTGTGCAGTCAGGGTATTACATTTAAAATATATTTGAATGATTTTTTGTGTGTCATTTTTATAATCAATTTAATACATAGTTATATTCATTTGTTCTTTTTCTTATTGAGGTAAAATTGGTATATAACGTAAATTTCAGATGTACAATATTATAAATCACTCCTATTAAGTTCAGGACTCTTTTCCATTCTTGGTTTAATTTATCAGTATCTGTAATAGTATGTTTTGAAGCACATTAGAAAAGGAAAATGTAGCCTCTTGATTCTATACAACGGAAAGGAAGAAGGTGGATGGTCTTTTAATGATTAAGGGAAACTAAAACTCGTTTTTATTTCAAACCAAATTTTAATTTCTTCCTTGTTTCCATTGTAAGTAAGTTCAGCTTCCTAGCCCTTGAACCCTAAAGTAGAATGTTGGAGCTGGAAGGATTCTTGAAATTCCTTTATCCCAGTTCCCTTATCTTCCAAATAGGAAACTGAGGTGAAGTTGTGGCTTGCCTAGTTCTTTATTATTTGGAGATCATATGAGGCCTTGCCTGATCTGAGCCTTAGAATGTGGATATCTGGCCTTTGGTTTGGCTTTTTCCTCCCCAGGCTCATGCTCAGGTACTTTGGACTTCTTCATTGTAGTCGTTTTTTTTTTTCTGGGGACTAGAGATATGGACTTAATGCTATGAAAGTGTTATTGATTACAGTGCAGATGAGGTTCGCAGAAAATCTCTGGTTCTCAAGTTCCCCAAACAGCAACTTCCTCCCAAGAAGAAACGGCGAGTTGGAACCACTGTTCACTGTGACTACTTAAATGTGAGTATCTGCATTGCTGCCTTCTGACCAGATGGGATTCTCATTGATTCCTCCAGCCCTCTAACCCATGGCTCTGGCACAGCCTTAGATTCTCCCTTTGGCCTTGCCCTGAAAATTATGTATACTGTTCATTACAAGATTTGTAGGCTGTAACCAGAAAGTACTATTTTTTTGTTTTTCTTACCTAATGGAGTACTCTGATTTCTCGTTTCTCCTTAGAGACCTCATAAGTCCATCCACCGACGCCGGACAGACCCAATGGTGACATTGTCATCCATCTTGGAGTCTATCATCAATGACATGAGAGATCTTCCAAATGTGAGTTCATTGCATTCATGTCTACAGTAGGAATGGTAAGGCTCTTTGTTGTGTCTGTGATTTCAGATAGAGGGCAGTAGAGTACAGGCCAGGAACTCCTCTAATTCTTTCAGATGTAGTTTTTTGGTTTTTTGGGTTTATTTAATAGTTTAGTAGAGGAAACAGACACCTATCTGCTTCATCTAGAAAGATTCCTTTAAGAGTTGATGGCGAGGTAGACAGGTAAAATGTGAGTCTTCAGGAATTGGCTCTGGCAAGTGCTCTTTGCTCACAGATAATGCTATTTCTTGTTGGCACAGACCTACCCTTTTCACACTCCAGTCAATGCAAAGGTTGTAAAGGACTACTACAAAATCATCACTCGACCAATGGATTTACAGACACTGCGTGAAAATGTACGTAAACGCCTCTACCCATCTCGGGAAGAGTTCAGAGAACATTTGGAGCTAATTGTGAAAAACAGTGCAACCTACAATGGTAAGAATCACCTGTTCCTTGACTGCAAAGGTCACCTTTCAGTGACCTAGTCACCTTACTAGTCCTAAATTCAGACTAGCTTGGACTGACTGAAATGATCTACAGTGTATTATGCATTTTGGGGTCAAGAAAATTAGTGCACATTTTTGTCATTTATTATTGCTTCTTTTTAGTCCCACTTTTGAATATATCCTCTGGAGAATTTGGAGTCTATCTTTTGAAATGAAACAATTGCATGGAGATTAGTGGCAGGAAGAAGTGGGCCTAATTAAGTGGAAAGGAGAGACAGTGTGGATGGAATCTGCAATGTGTGTCCCTGTGACCGTGTTTGTTGTGAGTCTTTGATTTGATCTACAGATTTGTTAATAGGGGCTATTATCTGTTCCCTTTGCTCAAAAGCTGGAAAGGGAGGGAGAAAGAAATCTGCTCTCTGAGTCTTAAAAGAGGGAAAACAGTACAGCTTCTGCATATAGGGGAGATAAAGGTTTCTGGTCTCCAGTTGGATCCTTGAGCACAGATTCATGTATATAAGCGTGGGGATTAAGAGTACAGCCAGAGAATGAGTCATGGCTCTACCACTTACTAATTAAGTTACTTTAGACAAGTTCTTAGACAAGTTACCCTAGACAGCCTCTCACAGCCTCCTCAGTATTGTCATCTGTAAACATAGGACAATAGAAGTACCTAGATTCTGTGACCTTTCACAAGCAGGCCTGACCTGTTTATCTAGTCTCCTGTCCAATGCCTGGCTCCCACACCTACTAGAGATTCCTGCCACATTTCACTAAATATCCTGTTGCCATTTCTTCATGCCTCTTGCACAGTCTGTGCCATGTCTGGAATGCCCTTTCTTCCCTTTTGGTGATAAATTTCCATTCATATTTTCCAGACCAATTCATATCATCTCTTCATGGAGACTTATGCAGACTGCCCAAAATACCATTTTTTGATCCTCTGTGCTCCCCAGCACAATTAAATCAACTTTTATGACTCTTACTATGTTGTATACAGTTATTTATATATCCAAATCTCCCACCACTTTGTGACCTCCTGGAGAGACTATGTCTTATTCATCTTTATATTCTCTGGCAGAGCACTGGACACGCACAAGGGAAGAATACATTGGTTAGGCCCAACTGTCATTCAAATTATAAGGATAAATACTTAAAGACAGTCAAATTGGGGGTGGCTCAGTCGGTTCAATGTTCGACTCTCGATTTCTGCTTGGATCATGATCCTAGGGTCGTGGGATCGAGGCCTGTGTTGGGCTCTGCATTGAGCATGGAGCCTGCTTAAGATTCTCTCTCTCCCTCTCTGTCCCTCTCCCTCACTCTGTCTATCTCTCTCTAAAAAAAAAGAAAAAAGAAAAATCAAATTGAAATAGGAATGGAACGGTGTAAGAGTCGACTTTGAAAATACAGAGCTGAAGTACCTGTGGGTCATTTAGGTGGAGATGTTAGTAAAAAAATTAGAAGTAAAGATTTTTTCATAGCCTTACATTCCCTCCCCCCCAGCTCAATTCTCTTTCTTCCTCAAACCTGTTGCTGATAATCATAGTAGTAGCAGTATTACCAGTGGCTCCAAGTGTTTAACTTGCATTGTTTTATTTCACCTTAAGAAATCTCTGAAATGGGTACTATTATAATCCTTATTTTTATGGATAAACAGATAAGCCTGTAGCGTTTAAATAACTTCACTAAGGTGGTCACACTGCTAAAAAGTGGCAGAGATGTGTATCCAGGTATATATAACTCCAGAGCCTATGCTCTTTTTTTTTTTAAGGTTATTTATTTATTTTTGAGAGAGAGAGAGAGAGAGGAAGGGGCAGAGTACGAGGGAGAGAAAGAATCCTAAGTAGGCTCTGCGCTGTCAGCACAGAGCCCAGTGTGGGGCTCAATCTCATGAACAGTGAGACCGTGACCTGAGCTGAAACCAAGAGTCGGATGCTTAACCAACTGAGCTACCTAGGCGCCCCAGAGCCTATGCTTTTAACCACTATGTTTCATATACTCTTCTCTATTTATTCACTTCCTGTTCATACCTTACAACCCTGAAGTTGCCTTCCACAGAAGTACCAGTAACCTCCCAATTGCTGGATCAAGTGGCCACATTCCAGAAATGCCTGTTTACTTAAACAACTTTATAGAGACATAATTCACGTACTGTACAATCTACGCATTTACTTATTTATTTATTTTTAAATATTTACTTATTTTTGAGAGAACATGCGTGTGAGTGGGGAGAGGGGCAGAGAGGGAGGGGGACAGAGGATCTGAAGTAGTCTCTGAGCCGAACAGCCAAGAGCCCGATGCAGGGCTCGAACTCATAAACCGTGAGATTATGACCTGAGCCAAAGTCAGATGCTCAATCAACTGAGCTACTCAGGAGCTCCCAATTCACGCATTTTTTTTTTTTTTCAACGTTTTTTTTTTTTTTGGGACAGAGAGACAGAGCATGAACGGGGGAGGGGCAGAGAGAGAGGGAGACACAGAATCGGAAACAGGCTCCAGGCTCCGAGCCATCAGCCCAGAGCCTGACGCGGGGCTCGAACTCACGGACCGCGAGATCGTGACCTGGCTGAAGTCGGACGCTTAACCGACTGCGCCATCCAGGCGCCCCCCAATTCACGCATTTAAAGGGATCAGTTTTAATATGTATTACCCACGTGGTAGCATGTATCAGTACTTCATCCCTTTTTATCATCACCTAATGTTCCATTGTATAGATATACCCCATTTTAAAAATTTGTTCATCAGTTTGTAGACATATGCATTATTTACACTTTCTGATTAGTACAAAAAATGCTGCTGTGAACATTTGTGTACAAGCTTTTGTGTACACATTTATTTTCATTTCTCCTAGATATATATCTAGGAGTTGAATTGCTGGTAACACATGGAAGCTCTATGTTTAACTTTTTGATGGGGCGCCTGGGTGGCTCAGTTGGTTGAGCATCTGACTCTTGATTTCTGCTCAGGTCATGATCCCAGGGATGTGGGATCGAGCCCCATGTTGGGCTTCATGCTGAGTGTGGAGGCTGCTTGAGATTCTCTCTCTCTTTCTTCTTCTCCCTCTCCGTCTCCCTCTCCCTCCCTTTCTGCCCTTCTCCCCCGCCCCACTTGTGGGCTCTTTCTCTTTAAAAAAAAAAAAAAAAGTTTAAAAAAAACTTGGAGCACCTGGGTGGCTCAGTCAAAGTGTCCAATGCTTGATTCCGGCTCAGGTCATGATCTCATGGTTCATGAGATCGAGCCCCACACTAGGCTCCATGCTGACAGCACGTGCTGACAGCCCTCTCTCTCTCTCACTCTCCTGCTCACATGTTCCCTCTCTCTCAAAATAAATAAGCTTTAAAAAAAAAAAAACTTTCTGAGAAACAATCAAATAGTTTTCCAGAGCAACTGGAGCATTTTATAACCCCGTCAGCAGTGTGTAAGGGTTATGATTTCTCCACATCCTTGTCACCACTTGTTATTGTTCATCTTTTTTATTCTAGCCATCTTGGTGAATGTGAAGTGGTATTGTGGTTTTGATCCATATCTCCATAATGACTAATGACATTGAACATCTTTCCCCCCCCTCCCGTTTTACTGAGATAGAATTGACATATAGCACTGTGTAAGTTTAAGGTGTATGGCATAATGGTTTGACTTAACATAGTGTGAAAGGTTTACTGCAATAAGTTTAGTAAGCATCTGTCATCTCATATAGATACAGTAAAAAGCAAAAAAAAAATTTCTTCCTTGTGATGAAAACTCTTAGGATTAACTCTCAACAGTTTTACTGTATATCATACAGCAGCGTTAACTGTCATGTAGTCATCATGCTGTACATTACATCCCTAGTGCTTATTTCTCTTACGATGGGAACTTTGTACCTTTGGACTGCCTTCCTCCAATGTTCCTATCCTCTACCCCCTGCCTCTGGTAGCCACAAGTCTCATTTCTTTTTTATGAGTTTTAAAAAATTTTTTAAGCTTATTTATTTATTTATTTATTTTGAGAGGGATAGAGACAGCACGAGTTGGGGAGGGGCAGAGAGAGAGGGAGACAGAATTCCAAGCAGGCTCTGCACTGCACGTCAGCACAAAGCCAGACATGGGGCTCGAACTCACAAAACTGTGAGATCATGACCTGAACTGAAATCAAGAGTTGGACACTTAACTAACTGAGCCACCCAGGCACCCCTATGAGTATTTTTAAGATTCTACACATAAAGTGAGATCACACAGTCTTTGTCTTTGATGTTAAGCATCTTTGCATGTGCTTAGAAATCTTTCTTGAACTTTAGTGTATTTGGCACTATTGGTCACTTGTTGCTCCTTGATACTCTCTTCTCTCTTTTCCAGGAGTATTTTCTCTAATTACTTCCCATCTTTTTCATTCCCATGACTTCAACCACCATATATCCACTGATATCACTGTCTCCAGCCCATACCTCTCTTCTGAGTTCCATACTCATTTTCCAGTTGCCTGCCAGACATGTCCATTTTTCAGTGCCCTACTGGCAACTCTTTATCTGATTGCTTTATTTAGATTGATGATATTACCATCCTTTCTTAAAGTTTATTTATTTTTAATTTACATCCAAGTTAGCATATAGTGCAATAATGATTTCAGGAGTAGATTCTAGTGATTCATCCCCTATGTTTAACACCCAGTGTTCGTTGATCTTACCATCCTTCTAGTTGTACAATCTAGAAATGATGGTCATTGTTGGTTCTACCCTTTCTTCCCCACACTCCTAGATCACTAAATCCTATAAATTGTATCCTCGATGGTTTGCTGGAATACATCCCCTTCCTTTCAGTCTCTGTTACTCCTATCTTAGTTGAAGCCCTTGTCATTTCTTATTCAACCCCTTGCAACAGCTTCCAGACTTTCCTTTTGTTGCTTGTCTTAATTTTTCATGCTGTTTTTTTAAATGTTTGAGAGAGGGAGAGCAAACAGGTAAAGGGCGGAGAGAGAAGCAGAGAGAATCTCAAGCAGGCTCTGTGCTGTCCATGCAGAACCGGACACGGGGCTCCATCTCACAAATTGTGAGGTCATGACCTGAACTGAAGTCAAGAGTCGGGTGCTCAATCTACTGAGCCACCCAGGCACCCCAGTTCTTCACATTATTGATAAGGGTATTTTTTTCTAAAACACAAATTTGAAAAATTATTTTCCAGTATAAAATCCTTAGTGTCTTTCTATCACCTATGAGACCTCTATAATATGGCCCCTTCCAAGTTCCATTTCCTATTTCTCCTCCACACATACCTGTATTGCAGTTGTACCAAACTACTTGTGGTTCTTGTGAACTGTGTTGCTTCGTGTTTCTATTAATTTGCTTACTTTATACTTTTGTACACTTTTTCTTCCCTCTGGAATGTCTGTCTACCCTGTTGTCTATCTGATGGACCTCTACTCTTCATTAATGACAGGACTCATGTCAGTCACAGCAAGCCTTCCCTGCTTCCCAGTATGCAGATTTAATTGTAAAACAACTTACAACCCGTCTCATATGCAAGCCTACCATATTTCATAGCAACCAATGTATTTCTCTATTTGCACTTACACTCAGGTTTCTATTTCTCTGTAGGTATACATGTACATATACACAGAAGTATACAGAAGTAGAGAGAGAATAAACCTCAGCACACCTATTCATCTAGTTCAACAATTACTCTCATATGGCCGATCCCTGTTTATTTAGTCTGTATTTCCAGATGTTTTATCATTTCATGCATAGATACTTCAAGCACTCATACTCTGTCTTGGCAATTATTTATTTTTATGTCATTTGACCCAAGAACTAAGGTAGGAACTGTGTCTTATTTTCTCTTCATTCCCATCACTGACCACATCACACACCATCATTAATCATTTGTTGGATGAATAAACGAATGAATGCTAAATTAATTAGTTGAGACTAGAGTTGAGGTTTAGGGTCTGTGGAGGAACACTTACGTAAAAAAATAGAGGAAGATCAGCAAAGGATACTTGAAAGGAAGCAGTCCATTTATTTTAGATGAAAATGTCTTGACTGTCTCTATAACGAGCGTGAATCAGGGCAGCCATAAGTGGGGAGTGGAAGAAATAGTTCAAGGATTTTCTGAAGCTCTTGTTATGGATTTCAGGGAAGGTAAATAGTCTCAGATGGGATGGAGAGTCTTTTATGACAAAGGCTTTGGATTAGCCATATGTTGGGAGGACATCACAAACCATGAGTTCTGTAAACAAAAATTACAATCACAAATTTTATATGCTAAGTATGGAAAGATTGTAAATCATACATTGATCTCCTCAGCTATCCTTAAACAAATTCCCCATCCACTGTATCATTTTCAAGGTATTAAAGGCAGTGGTATCTATAATAGTGCTGTTAGATATATGTAAATAAGGAAGTTAAAATTAGTTTATTCATCCATGCTGTGTATCTGCCATGTGTTAGCGCTGAAAAAATGGCGATAAGACTGCTATATCTGTGTAACCTAGTAGCTAGGCTGGTGCCTGGCACATATTAGGTGTTTTAAGTAAATGCGTTAAAAGTCTCGAGTGGTATTGGCAGCTCTTGCCTCCCATTTTTAATGGTCTCATCTCTTATTGTTCCTCTATACATTTAGGTCCGAAGCACTCATTGACTCAGATCTCTCAATCCATGCTGGATCTCTGTGATGAAAAACTCAAAGAGGTAAGATATTTAAAATGAGAGAAAAGCAGTGGAATTTGAAGGTGGCTAGTAAGCAGGGTTGAGGAAGGAGGGAATGTAATAGAAGGAAGAGTAGAGAAATGTGAGAGTAGTAGATCTTTAGTATGTTAGAGAAGAAGGGACGTTAGAAATCATATAATCCCTTTTTTTTGTAGATGGAGAAACTGAGATCCATAGAAGGAAATTACTTGCCCTGGGCATTATGGTTATTAAGTAGTATAGCTAGGATTGAAATCTAGAACCCACATAACTTTAGAAAGGGCCAAGGAAAGTAAATTCCCAAGAAGTCAGAGCTAAGAGACTGTGTTTTGGCAGAGAGGACCTTTAATTTTTAAGAGATTATCTATATTCCATTTTTTTACCCCCCCCAATGGTACCTTTATAAGCTTACAAAAATGGAAGTATGATTATGATGTTAATACTGAAGTAGACATTTCATAAAAGAGGATAATCAGACGGCTGATAAACACGGAAAGATTCCCAAATTGATCGATCATTGGGAAAATGCAAATTTAAACTAGGATTAGATACTATTACATGCCCACCAGAAAGGCTAAGCTTTGAAAAGACTAAAAAATAATTTAAAAAACTGACAGTAGTAAGTGTTGATGAGGATGTGGAGCAATTGGAACACAAACTTATTCCCAGTATAGTCTGAAATGAATTTATTGGATTAGCTCCCCTTACGTAAAAGTCACTAATCAGCAATATGTCCAGTGTTTTCAGCAACAGTTTTACAGCAAAAACAATGTGTGATAGTAAAACCTAACTTGGTGAAGGTGTTTTTGTTGTGGGAACTAGGCTATCAATTCCCAGGGATGTATATTTTGGTAATCTATTAGAATAGATGATAGAATACCTAAAGGATCGATTAGTACATCCCTTTTGATCCTCTTAGTAGAATATCATTTCTCTTATCTGAAATTTCTGCCTGGAATTGAACTTGACAGTTTAAAGTTAGACTTTTTGAGAAACTTAACAGAAGACCATCGGGGAAGAGAAGGGAAAAAAAAATAGTTACAGAGAGGGAGGGAGGCAAACCTTAAGAAACTCTTAAATACAGAGAACAAACTGAGGGTTGATGGGGGGTGGGGGGAGGGGAAAGTGGGTGATGGGCATTGAGGAGGGCACCTGTTGGGATGAGCACTGGGTGTTGTATGGAAGCCAGTTTGACAATAAATTATATTAAATAAATAAATAAGTGAATAAATAAATAAATAAAATAAAGTTAGGGTTTTTTTTGGGCAAGGGCAGTAGGCGACTGAACCATAAATTATCCATAATTTTCTGTGGTGATTATACCTCAAGGAAACCTGTTTTTCCTTTGCTTTGTTTCATATCAGAAAGAAGACAAATTGGCTCGTTTAGAGAAAGCTATCAACCCCTTGCTGGATGATGATGACCAAGTGGCATTTTCTTTCATTCTGGATAACATTGTCACCCAGAAGATGATGGCAGTTCCAGATGTAAGTGGTCTCTGTGCTAAATATTGTGAAGATAGTACAGAAGGAAGGGACCGGAGGATGTATGTTTATGTATGTTGGGGAGTCTGCAAGGTAGTGTTTATAAATTCAAACTGGCGTATAATTTAAAAAACTGACCTTTTTGCTGTATGAGTGCTTTATCATTAAAATCAGAGGCCAGGAGGGGCGCCTGGGTGGCTCAGTCGGTTGAGCGTCCGACTTCGGCTCAGGTCATGATCTCATGGTTTGTGAGTTCGAGCCCCGCATCGGGCTCTGTGCTGACAGCTCAGAGCCTGGAGCCTGCTTCTGCTTCTGTGTCTCCCTCTCTCTCTGTCCCTAACCCAGTCGCATTCTGTCTCTGTCTCTATCAAAAATAAATAAACATTAAAAAAATAATAATAATTAATAAATAAATAAAATCAGAGGCCAGGAATCTGCAGGTATAGAGAGATTTTCTCTTCCTGTTGCTGACGTTCAGTATTTGAAAGCTCCCAAATAGCCCTGGAGAGAAATCAGGATGCCAGCTAATGGGAGTCTTTGAATTGAAAGGTGCTTCTTGACAAATGACAGTTTATTAATTATCCACTGTTTATTGTCTTGTGTTTGTTTGTTTTGTCTTTTGCAACTTTATGGCAGGGCTACCACGTTGACTGTATGAGAATCATTTGGTAATGATTCTCCCTTAGGAGTTCTGAACTCAATCTCCTTTTGTGTTGTGGGCACATGTTATATATGTGTTAATGCTATAAAACTTCTGGAGGGGAGTAGGGAATAAGAAGTTTTAACTGTGAGTATAGAACAAAAGTTCTTACACTATCAGGGCATAGTAATCCTTAAAGAAATCCAAGAACCCCTTAAATTATATACGGAGTTTTGTGTGAATGTGTGTCTTTCTGGGAAAAGTGGTTCATAGCTTTTGTTGGAGCGTTAGGCAAATGTGTGACCCAATGAAGGTTGAGAGTCTCTGGTATAAAGAATGGTTTCCATTTCATTTCTTATGCTTTGTGTTTTCTAGTCTTGGCCATTTCATCACCCAGTTAATAAGAAGTTTGTTCCAGATTATTACAAAGTGATTGTCAGTCCAATGGATTTAGAGACTATACGTAAGGTGAGTGATTTGATCTAAAATGTGTTTTTAGAATCAAGTAACTTTGTACATGAATCTGAGTCCCTGGTTCTTTTAATCACAGAATATCTCCAAGCATAAGTACCAGAGTCGGGAAAGCTTTCTCGATGATGTCAACCTTATTCTGGCCAACAGTGTTAAGTATAATGGTGGGTATTTGTCCTTTTTTAAATTTCTTTCCATCTATCTATCCATCCAGTTTTAGTTAGCATTATTAAAATTTAATTGTATGAACAATTAATTAGCCTTGAACAGTGATAGCAGACTTAGTCAACTGACTTACTCTCCTTTTTTTTTTTAAGCAGGCACATATTTCAATGTGTTTTATAAAGTCTGCTAATAACTTTTAATGAAAAAGCAAGGTACATTTATTTTTAAACTTTGGAAAGCACAGAAACATGAAAAGAGAATAAAAATTAAAAGGATATTACTTTGGGCTTTGAGCCATCACTGCTTTCCAAGAGATAGGAAAATTCACCTATGCCCTAGGCCCTTAGATGGAGCTTAAGGAAATGTATGACTGGAGGCCATAGTGAGCTTCCTTAGAGCATAGAGTTTTTGGTCAGTACATGACCTGATAATATAAGTCAAGCTAGTTACTTCTTTTTCTTTATTAATTTTTTTAACATTTATTTATTTTTGAGAGAGAGACAGACTGCAAATGGGGGAGGGGCAGAGAGAGAAGGAGACACAGAATCTGAATCAGGCGCCAGGCTCTGAGCTGTCAGCACAGAGCCCAACGCGGGGCTCAAACCCACAAACTTCAAGATGGTGACCTGAGCTGAAGTTGGGCGCTCAACCAACTGAGCCACCCGGGGGCCCGCTAGTCACTTACTTCTGTGCTGACTACTTAATCTGGTAGGAAAGACAATCCAAGTGATGGAGACTGTTAAAATGCAGGTCGATGAGGTCTGTATTAGAAAGACTACAAAGCACACTAGAGGAGCAAAACGAATACCTTTGCCTAAGCGTTAGAAAAGGCTTTATAGATAAGCTAATAAAGATTTTCAAATGACTTGCTTGTTAAGTAAACATTGATTAAGCACCTAATATGTGCTGGCACTGATAGATGCCACAAATATAAAATCAACTTAGGCATGATTCCTGCCCCCACATTGATTAGAGTTTAGTTGGGGCAACAAAAAAGAAAATTTATAGAAGCTAAATATTATGCTAGATGTATGCACAGAGTGCCAAAGAGACACAGACAGGATATCTACACCAAGAGTATGATTAGAGGAAACTTTCTGGAAAAGAGTTTTCTTAAGCTGATTTCTAAAGGATCAGTAGAGTTCACTAAGCAAAGAATGTGGAGGAGAAAACATTCCAGGCAGAGAACAGTAGTATGTAAAGACACAGAGGCCTGAAATTATATTAAATGGGCTTAAGAGACAAATTGTTGGGGTTGCAGTCACCTGTGCATGTTGGTGAATGACTGGTTTTATGTAGAAGTCTCTAGGAATCAAATCCTAGAGAGCCTTGTGTGTGCCATATGTCACACTTAAGAAATTTTTTTTTAAGTTTTTATTTATTTATTTTTGAGAGACAGAGAGAGCAGGGGAGGGGCAGAGAGAGAAGGACAGAGAGAGAATCCCAAGCAGGCTCCATGTTGCCAGCACAGAGCCAGATGTAGGGCTTGAACTCACAAACTGTGAGATCATGACCTGAGCCGAAACCAAACCAAGAGTCAGATGCTGAACCGACTGAGCCACCGAGGTGCCCCTAAAGAGATTTTACTTTACCTTAAATGGAAAGACATTGAAGAATTAAGCAGTGAAATGATGATCTCCTATAACTCCTTAAGCAAAAAAGAAGAGGAAGCTAAGGGCGTTTGAGAGAATTACCTAGCATACTGAGGTTTGAACTGAAAAATCCACATGACTGTGACTTTGCTGCAGCAGTATTCAGCAGCCTAACTAGTGTGGCTGTACATTTGCTAGATAGGAGGGACAGAGAATTGAAGGCGGGAGGTCGAAGGAAGGGACAACCAGAGAGATGAGAAAATGGGCATAGAGAAGAGAATGTTCAATACCAGGGAGGAATGAGAGAACAGGGTGAGTTCAGAGAGCTATACTTGACCAGAACCTGTATGTGTATTATTAAGCGAAGTGGTAGGACATGATCCTTCTATTTTTGTTCCATCTGGGTTGGTTTAAAAGAATCAACTTTCTCCCTTGTGCTCATTGGAAATCGGAGTGGAAATGCCTTTTGTCAGGTTAGTTATCTCTCCATTATTGTCTTCTAAAAACACTTAAAGCTCATCAGCCATAATTCTGGTAAAAAAGAAGTGTTTAGGTTCACAGATGTCTAAAAATGATTGTAATAAGTGATAAGCAAGAGTGTTCTAGAAAGCCTCTGTGGCCTTGATGATGGCTAGCTTAAGATATAAGGCAGATTTTAAAAGGAGTTTATGTAAGGCAAAAAGAAAAACCCAGAAGATGCTAAGTGACAAATGAACAGAGGGCAGATGGACAGATCACAGAACACTGACATTAAATAGCTAATGAACATGAATATTCAGTTGCACCCAGTAATCAAAGAAATACAAATTGAAACAGAGGGAGGTACCTTTTTTCCACCTATTCAATTAGCTCAATTTTTTTTAATGTTTGTTTAGTTATTTGTTTTGAGAGAGAGAGCATGTGCACATGAGCAGGGGAGAGGCAGAGAGACAGAGAGAGAGGGAATCTCAAGCAGGCTCTGCACTGTCAGCACAGAGCCCGACATGGGGCTGGATCTCAAACTGTGAGGTCATAACCTGAGCTGAAATCGAGAGTGGGACACTCAACCAACTCCAACTGAGCCACCCAGGCACCCCTCAATTTTGTTTAATGCAAGTATTCAATGCTAGTGAGGCGGGTACCCTCACATAGTGCTGTTGGCAGTATAAGCTTGTAAGACATTTCTGGAAAGCTCTTTGGCAGCATTTAGAGACTAAAAAATAGTTAAGAGAGAAGACTTTATAATCAAGTATGCTTGAGTTTGAATATTGGGCCCACCATTTAATAGCAGTGTGACTTTGGGTAAGTAACTTAGCCTTTGCTTTCCCATCTGTACAATGGGAATAATAATGGTACCTTCCTCAGAGGGCTGTTGAGAGGGTTAAATAAAATAATGCATGTAAGTGTTTAATGTACGTGCATGGCATACACAACATGGTATAACAACCTGCCCTAATCAGAGCTGTAGACAAAGATATTCCTGATCGTGTTATTTATATTAAAGAGAAATAACCTGAATGGTTAATGTAGAGGGAATGATTAGTTATTGTGCCATCAGTATGATGGGTTATTATATAAAGATTGAGAACTCTTTTTTAAAAGAAATTAAAGACATAAGTGCTTACAATGTTAAGTGAGAAAAGCAGAGCACAAAACTTATTTCATCTCAGTTACACTTTTAAAAAAGTGCATATATATAGGAAAAACTGGAAGGAAACACATCAAATGTGTTAATAGTGGTTATTTCTGAGATGTAGGATTAGGATTTTCTTTGTTTTCATCTTTTGTATGTTTTCCAAGTTTTCTACTAGTATGAAAAGGCAGGAAACTCTTCCTAGAGGTTTTTGAATTTTCAGGGATGATGATTATAGTAGCTAATTAAATATTCAGCACCTCTCCTCCTGTGCCAAGCTGAATAGTCAGGTAGAGAAGGGTGGGGAAGAAGTTCCAGGAAGAGAGCACAAACAGAAAAGTAGGTGAGAGTGCCTTGGATAGAGAAGTGCAAATAGTTGAGTTTGGCTAGGGGTAAAGACTAGGAGCTACTTTTGGTAAGATAGGAGTTTTTCAAGATAGATGGGGCCAAATCACAAAAGGCCTGGTGTGTCACATTAAGCTTTTAAAAAGGAAAGAGGATCATAGCAGATATTTTAGCAAGATCATTCTAGAAGCTATCTAAAGAACAGATAGGAGGGGAATTAGATATAGAGACCCATAGAGAAACTGTTGACAATAGTCCAAGTTAAAAATATTGAGGGCTTGAGCCATGATAAGTAGCCATAAGAATGGAAAGGTGGGGACAGATTGTAGAGATATTGTGGAGGTAGAATTGATATCTTCATAAGTGGTTGGAAGTTGGGGATGTTGGGTAAAGGGCAGGGAGAATTCAGGATGTTGCCAAGTGCTCATTTGCTCTTGGGTGAAAACAGAAATGGATACAAACTTTTTAAAGGACTGTAAATGTTCATCGCCTTTGATCAGTTTCACCTCTAGGGAATGCTCCACACACAGGTTTGCAAAGGCATGTGTATAGATACACATATATTTATAATTGCAACATCATCCAGTTGACCCTTGAACAACATCAATTTGAACTGTGCAGGTTCACTTATACACAGATTTTTTTACAGTAGAGTATTCTAAATGTATTTTCCTTATGATTTTTAAAAATTTATTCCCAAGTTAGTTAACATACAGTGTAGTCATGGTTTCAGGAGTAGAACCCAGTGATTCATCTGTTACATAAGACATCCAGTGCTCATACCAACAAGTGCCCTCAATGCCCGTCACCCATTTTCCCCACCCGCATCAACCCTCAGTTTGTTCTCTTTAAGGGTCTCTTATGGTTTGCCTCCCTCTCTCTTTTTATCTTATTTTTCCTTCCCTTCTCCTGTGTTCATCTGTTAAGTTTCTCAAAGTCCACATATGAGTGAAATCATGTGATACCTGTCTTCTCTGACTGATTCACTTAGCATAATACCCTTATGATTTTCTTAGTAGCATTGTCTTTTCTGCAGCTTACTTTATTGTAAGAATACATTATATAATACATATGACATACAAAGCATATGTTAATCAACTGTTAATGTTATCAGTAAGTTTTTCAGTCATCGGTAGTTAAGTCTTTGGGGAGTCAGAAGTTATAAGCAGATTTTTGATTGCACAGGATATAGGCACCTCTAACCCTTGTGTTCAAGAGTCAACTGTAATTGCAAAAACATGGGAGCTCTTTGATTTTCTAACAGTAGGAAATCAGTGAAGTAAATGACGGTACCTGTATATGGTGGAGTACTGTTTAGCTATCAAAATGGTAGATTAGCTAATAAGGTATATTTGTATATGCTGATATGAAAATGTATTCAAGATGTATTGTTGAAAAATAGGTAACTTGACAGTATATACAGAAGAGGTTGCAAATTCAGATCTTATAA